GAACAGGACCCAGTTAATTGGGGATGGATGAAGGACGACAACAAAGCTGTCTCTTATACACATCTAGATGTGTATAAGAGACAGATTTAAAATTGCTTTCATTCATACAACATTTAGTTGCTTCACTACAGTAGTAAGTTCGCGTGTTACGGACGATCCGCACATAAGACGAACATGATTATACAAATCTAAAATATGAATGTCGTGCGTATAAAGGCCAACTCAGACAGCGTCGGCCGACGCAGCCCGACTCGATTTATCGTCGGGGACAGTCTTAAGCCGTCGTGAGAAATATTAAACACGTTTAATATTCTACTACGCGACTGCCCCCGACGACCACCATCGCGTCTGCGTTCAACTCACACAGACCCGACGCGACAACAAATCGCGTCGGGCTGGGTCGGCCGACGCTGTCTGAGTTGGCCTTACGACGACCCCCTTTTTTTCGATCGTAATTTGCTATTTTAAGCCACGTCCTATTATACGCAGGTATATACGATTTGTTTTAAAACCCCAGGTCACCCGAGCGTCAGTCATACAGTGGCGGGTTCAAGGGGGAAATTTTCCATGGAGAGGACCCCACCCCCTTTCATTTTAGGTGTTTTTGGAAACGTTTTGAACCCCCTCTTTTAAATCCTGGATCCACCCAAACTGTGAACTTGGAAGCTGCAAATGCAAAAAGAATGGATTAAGATGTACCGAGTTGTGTGGTTGCCAGGGAAAATGTTAGACAAGACCTTACAAGAAGTCTGTGCTCATCTATGTAAACATAATTAAACATATGTTAATAATTACGAACTATAATTTATGTTTATTTGCTTAGAAAAAACATGTGAAACTATGAGAATGTGTATATGTAATAGAGATACAGCATATTTATGTTATTGTCGTAGTCATTAATAAAGTTCACAGATGGTTGATCAATTGGTCAATCAATCAATCAATCAATCAATCAATCAATCATATTTTATTGTCATTGTTCAGGAGAACATAGAAATTTGTTTTGCTCTGTGGTAAAAACACATTCCAAAAGGCAGAACAAACACAAACAAAGAAACAAAGTGCAAAAGTATGAAACATTTACCTACAATTTAGAGCCCTAATTGCTCTAGGAAAGAAACTATTCCTGAATCTAGCCTTAGTGGCTTTCAATGAACGAAAAAGTCGACCACTGCGCATCAATTGGAATAGGTTTGAGGCAGGATGAGTTTGGTCGCCCATAATAGCCTCTGCCTTTTTAAGAAGCCGATCATGGAAAATGGTCTCCAGAGGCATTTGTTCCAAACCAATGATATGCGTTGCAGTCCTGACGATTCTGTTAAGGGCATATAAGTCGTTTTCGGTAGCGCCCCCGAACCAGACGGTTATAGATAATGTTAAAATGCTTTCAATTACTGCTCTATAAAAAGACATCAAAATAGTCGGATGCATTCCAAAAGATTTAAGCCTACGCAAAAAATAAATTCTTTTCTGTGCCCTTTTCACAATTGTTTGCACGTTACGTTGCCACTTCATATCATTGGATATATAAACACCAAGGAATTTAAATTCCTCAACAAAGTCGATTGGGACATCATTAATAAATATAGGGTATTTTGGATTTATAGCTTTCCGAAAGTCTACAACCATTTCCTTAGTTTTAAATACATTTAAGTAAAGATTGTTACTGCTGCACCAGTCTACAATATCTTTAATTTGCTGTCGATAAAATGTCTCATGGTGCACACTTTATTCCATTAAATGTACTAACATACACCATATTGAGCAAAATAGACATTCCAAAGTGTAAAGCGGGTAATAGATTACAGCCATCTTGGAATTAAAAATGATCACCATGTAATCATAATGGATATTGTATCAATATGCTTGTAAAC